GGTGCGGGGCTGCCGGGCTGCCCGGCTCGGGGGCAGTTAAAGCAAAACTGGATTTATTATTCTTTTTTTCTTTGTTCCGGGGTCAGGTTTTTAACGTGCCGTCGGTAGCCGGCGTGACTCGCTCGTGTTCGCTCGGCAGGCACATGGGGACCTGGTAAGAGCCTTAAGCCGCCCAGTGCAGGTGGTGTCTGGGGAGCCGTCAGAGTGTTTCTGGCCGAGAACTAAGAAGATGTTCTTCGTAGGGTCGGAAGGGGTCTTGTTTTAGGGTCAAAGCTTTCAAAGGTTTTATCCCCGTTCACAGACAGGTTCTGTTGAAACTTCATGGACAGGTGCCAGAAAAATGCAAACCTGCCAGTTGGTGTGGTGATAAGTCAAGGACTGTGCTCATTTAGCAGGACATGGGAGTATATTTCTGAAAATTTGTCTCTATGATGGAAGGAATTAATTTTTTTAAGTATCTGGGGAAGTTCTGAGCACCAGCATTACAGCTTACTTTGGATCCCTAGATATAGGTTACAGTTAAAATAAATATAAATTAATTCTATTTCACATTTAACTCTGTCCTTGCACTGTTATGCACTGAAATCCTGATATGTTTCCGTATCTGGCTCTTGAGCTCCTGACTGGAACCTCCCCTCTGTGGAAAGCGTTCAAGGCCAGTCTGGATGGAGCTCTGTGCAGCCTGGTTTAGTGGGAGGTGTTCCTGCCCATGGCAGAGGAATTGGAACTAGATGGTCTTTAAGGTCCCTTCCAGCCCAAACCATTTTGTGATTCTATGACTCAGACTTTTCCTTCTCACAGTAAACACACACAAAGAAATACTTAATATTTAAAGACCTCAAAAACCAGTACACCCCCTTCTGGAAGTTCACCAGGGTAGTGACCATGGTGTTCTGTGATCACTCTGCAGTCAGCAAGCCAAAGGACCTTTTCAGCAGAAATTCCACTTTAGATTCGTGGCTTGATAGGCATTTTTCAGTGCATAAAGATGCAAACTAAGATGGTTTGAAAAGGCCTTATTTTTTGAGAAGTGTCAACTGCCTTGGTAATGAAGAAGGAGAACTTAGCAAGTGCTGTTCAGTGACTGGAGAAGTTGATGTTCCTTGTCTGGCACATGGGCGAGGAGGCTTCTGGACAGAGACTCTTGGTGTTCTGTTCATGATGCGAAGCACAAGAGCTCTGTAGCATCTGAAACTGTTTTCTGACTGGATTGAGGTAACATCTTCAGAGCTTCTTCTGAGTGCCTGTCTTGAACTCTGAAAGCGCTTAATGAGCTCAGGGAAGGTCAGGGAATCCTGGAAGGGAGAAGTGGCAGGGATCTGCTGCCTGCATTTTATCTGATTTTGCTTTGGTTCAGTGAAGGCTCCCTGTGGTGTACATGCACTGCATGTTAGAGACCAGAATCTTCACGCTGACTTGTCCAAAATGAGCATCCTAACATCGGATGGGGAAATGCAGTTCTTTTTCTTCCCTGCTCTTTTTCCGTCTCCTTGCTTGCACTATCATCTCACTCTATGATGGAGTTTGGTGTTTGAGCTGTGCTTGGACAGCTAGCATTTTTTAAGGGCATGTGCCTGGATAGTTGTTTGATTCCCAAATGACCCCTAGACAGAAGGTAGGCACCTCAAAGTTTGCTTCAGTACTGTGTAAGCCAGGAAAAATGCAGTCCTCATGGGAAGGTGCTGTCCACCAGTGTTTTCAGCACTCGGAGAAGCATTTTCAGGAAGTGGCTATATCAGAGGGTGCCACAAACAGGGGTTTCCAGTCTCTCTCTTGTGGTCCTATGTTCCTGCATTGTGTTTCAAGGTGCCATTTACATGCCTATATGTTCTCTTGGTTGTCTGCCCTAGATTTTAACAACCAGGCCAAACAAACAACCTTTGATGGGGCCTTGAGGGTCAGTAGGGACCTCTGATGACACAAAGACTTCAGCAGATTTCTTACAAAAGTATTGAAATTCTCTGCCTCTCCTTGTATCCTGAAGCTGAATGAAATACAGTTTCTGAAAAGTCTAGCTGTTCAAACAGCAGCCTCTAGATTAATTATCAGAAACTCTTGGTAATCACTCTCAACACCTGCTGTAGTTTTTTTACTTCATTATTTGTCATGAGAAAGTATTTAATTGTATTACTCTGTCATTTTGTTATCAAGTGCCATTAATGGGCCTAGGGATATGTTTGTTGTTAAAGACTGGACTAGACATCTTGATTCAATTCATAGGTTTGGCACAGACTCCTGGTATGATCGGGGATGAGTTGCTTGGTCTCTCTGGACCTTGATTCCTCTTTGATAGAGTGGCTATAAAATGCATCTTTTCCAGCTTTTGTCTAGTCAGAGTATTAGTCGAGTGAAATGGAAGCTGGCAGGGGGTATTGGATTGCTTCCTGTGAATACATTAGAACGGTAAATGCCAGGGAGGGAGAAGAGCTTCTGAAGCTAAAGAACAGTTTTCGCAGAAGAAAGGCCTATAAATAGAAGGTGGATAAATCTGATATTGAAATTCAAAGGAAATGTCTCATCATCAGATCAGTCAGTCAGAGCAGCCTTCCAGGGTTAGTCAGGGGGAAGAACATCCTAGTACGTAAGGTACATTTCCACTCCTCCTAAAATGAAAATCCATCGTGTAGGCCAGAGCTATCTGCTGACTCTGTCCCTGCTGCTGCTGCCCATCTGTGCTGCATCTGCCGGTCCTGCTGCTGCTTTTGCACCACTGCAGCAAAGTGCTGCGACAGCGGTAGTGTCAGAGACCAGGAACAGAGGTCAGGTGTGACATCTTGCCAACTTTTTGGGGGTAGAGTCTCTTAAGGACTGGCAAATGGTTTAGCTGCCTTTAGTGTGGACGTTGACCAGTTAGTGAGTGGGATTATTTGGCATGGGTTTTATTCCAGTGAAGGACTGGTCTTGACAATGCAAAAGGTTCTCTTCCTGTCTAATATTTTCCAGATATTAACCCTGTTTTCCTGTTCACTCTGTTGGTGATTCTGAGTTTGACATTCTTTCTAAAGGTTGCCCAAGTATAAAGCTTCACTTCTGGATGTTAAAGATTGAAGTATTTTAATTTCCACATACTTCCCTCATCCTTTTTTTATGGTCCAGGTTACTAGATGGATGCCAGGGACAAGCAGCTTTTACGCTCCATGCGTCTGGAGCTCTGCACAGAAGTGCTGGTGGATGGACTTGTTATTCAGTATCTCTACCAAGAAGGGATTCTCACGGACAGTCATGTTCAAGAAATAAAATCCCAAACCACCAGTCAGAGGAAAACCATGATGCTCCTTGATATTCTCCCCACCAGAGGACCCAAGGCTTTTGATGCGTTCTTGGATTCCTTACAGGAGTTCCCATGGGTTAAAGACAAGCTGATGCTGAAGCGCAAGGAAATTACAGTACAAGATCCTGCAGGTAAGCCCATGATTGTGTTTGCTGATATTTTGAAGCTTGTTCTCCAGACATTGTTTTGAACATACTGAATGTACCAGTCATGTCAAGTTACGCATTGTGTGGTTATGGAGGATGATACCAACAAAAGGGGACAGCCTGAATTTTGTAGAAGCCAGCCAAATGCCAGGAAGTATTGCAAAGGTTGGGGAGTGAGAAGGGCTGAGTTGCAGGAGATGGGGAGACAGCAGGAGAAGCTGCCTTGGGACAGGCTGAAATGTAGGAGCCAGACTCCATTACCTCAAATGGAATGGACTATAAAAAGTAACTTAGACTAGTTGCAGTACAGTCTGTTCACAATCCATACCTGATTATTGTTTATGTATGTTATACAGTATTTTTTTTCTGGGTTGTTAATTTTGACAGTTTTCTTATTTAATTATTATGATTTTAATGTAATTTTGTTTCAGTGCCATATACTAATTCAGATTTATTTAGTTTGTATGTTTACTGGAGTGCAAATAGCTATGATCATTTCTTCCAAAATTGCTAGTCATTGCTTAGTTTTAAAACAAATTTAGGTGCTCACCAATTTAGTGGGTGTTATATAATCTTATTTAGTCAAATCTTTGGCTTTCTGGCATTCAAAAGTACTTCTGAAACTAGTTTTCTGGACTTAATGTTTGTTCAGAAGTTATTTACGAGTCTGTGCATGCAGTTGTTGAGTTGTTTGGAAGTCAAGATGACTGCTTAAAATGTGTGTTTCTTGTCCTAGTTTCTGGCACCATGCGCTGGCTGCTAAGCTCATGTTATCAGCAATATAGTGAAATAGTCCTCACTTAGGAACATAGTTTCCAAGCAGTCTGATGAATATTTCTCCAAGTCCTCCACCCATGCCTCCTGCCCCATTTGAGTTTCGTCGTATGTATTTTGATGTTCATGATGTGATTTTTCCAGTGTCAGTGTGCTTTGCGTGAGACTGAAAGCCTGTGAAGATGGGTAACTAGGACCCGTCGACTGTCACGTGCACCTGCATCCTGGCTAGCTGCATGTTCAAGAACATTTTGTCAAGATCTGCTGGACAAATCTGACATTATCTTACCTTAGGACAATTTTCATGGAATATTGTGACAGCTTGTCTTTCAGTTGGGTCTCCGTGGGGGTTGCTTTACACTTGCTTGGAAATGAGTAAATAATTTTCAGAATTGAGGAAATAAATGTCCTGTGCTTCCCATAGGTGAAAACACTTTGAGTTCTTAGCACAATGTAAACTTGCAACACTGAGTGTGTTGAAAAAGACTGCCTGCTATTATGACAAATACTGCCATGTGAATGTTCTTTACTTGCCTTACAAATTAGCCTGTTTGTTAGCTAATTGCTGGTTAAGCTGTTGAATAATCCTTACAGTTCGAGAAAGTCAGACACAGCCATCAAGTACAGCCAGGATTGTGTAGTTTGTTACTAGAAAGTACCTGAAAGGAGCCTGTAAGAAGGCTGGGGAAGACCTGTTCACAAGAGCATGTAGTGATAGGACAAGGAGTAATGGTTTTAAGTTAGAGAAGAGTAGATTTAGGTTGGACATTAGGAATAAGTTCTGTAGTATGAGGATGGTGGATCACTGGAACAGGTTGCCTAGAGAGGTGGTGGAGGCCCCACCCCTGGAGACAGAGCATCTGTTCTAGTTGGAAATGTCCCTGCTTATTGTAGGGGGCTTTGACCAGATAACCTTTATAAATTCCTTCCAACCCAGTACATTCTATGATTCTATTCCATTCTATGATTTCAGTTCTTTTGATTGTTTTGTAGATTGCTTGTTCCTGGTCTTGATCGCTTGTGACAGATGTAGTTGGTTAATACATATCACATTCTCTGGTTTTGAGTGGGCTGACTGTACTTGATAGTCCTATTGCCAAATTTTGTGTGTAAGTTAGAAAAGGCTTCCAAATTAGATCAAAGGTTACTCTTATTTTTACTGTGGCAATATAGTGTGTCAGAATAGGATAAGTGGCAGATAGCCAAGTTTGTTTTAATATTTAGGCATGTTCTTTAGAAGCCAAAGAAAGAGAGTACCATCTGTGCCCTAATAAATGCTGAGTATACCCTGGAATGAATTGAAAACTATGGCAGCATCATCAGTGCTGATTACATGCAAGAAAATGTGGTTTGGGATGAAAAGCCTTGCTTTGCATTCTAAACAACAAACTTGTAAGCTTTTGTTTCAGCAGAGTACTTGAGCATATGCTTGGCCTTAAGCGTGGAAAAAGCCATTGGCTCTAATAAAACTATAAGCATACTTAAAATTAAATGTGGTCATTAGTGCAATACTAGATAACTTAACTCTTGCCTTATTGGAAACAGTTTTTGTAAATGATGATTTATCAGGGGCAGTTTCTTTTAAAGAATTCATCTGTAGTGAAAAAAGCCTGCCACATACACACCACCTTTTTCTTAGACCCTAAAACTTTTAAAATGGAAGTTGGTTTTATAGCCCTAGATTTAAAAATCTTTTTCCTTTGAATCATGCATACTTATGAAAATCATATGCCTGCTGTTCCCTTGTTTATGTTCAGTTAAATTTTTGTTTACTCAAGCAAAATATCCCCAGCTTTTGCAGATATTTTGCAGGACTAAGGACTGGAGGCAAGTAATTCCGTGAAGGAAGGTTTTATTTTACAGTCTTTCCTTTCTCACTGGCTTTTTTAAAGTTGGTAAGAGTAGACTATTAGGTTTTCTCTATCTGAACATAAAACAGTGGCATGTGCACAGTAATTTTTCTATGTAGGCCTTTTGATCATTGTGCTTTTTGTTCAGAGAGATCAGTCTTTCTGTCTTTACTTCAGCAGAGAAATACAGTTTGTTGTTCTTAGTTAAAAAAATAAAAAAAATCACAACTGTAATTATTAAGAAGCTTTTAATTTATTTTGTTCCCTGGTAAAAACCAAAGCAAACCAACAAACCAAACAAACAGCAATTTCAGAAGGACAGAAATAAAAACATTTTTGGTGATATAGTTGTGTAAATATAATATTGTGGACCAAGCAGCTACGAAATGGAAGCCGAAGTCTGAGACCTAAACAAGACACTCCAACTGACTCATCAGGAGCCTTTGGGAGAATCCTTCCAAGGCAATGGAGTAATTGATTCTTAAGGTGTGTAGCTTGGTGCAGCATAGAGTGTAACTGTAAATTGGCTCAGGATTCAACTCAGACTATGCTGTTTGTCTGCTTGCAAATAAATGAACTTTAAAACCTGTGATTCCTGAGTTTTATTGCTGGAAGTAAGTTGACTTAATGCTGTTATCTGCTGTAATTCCAAGGAATACAGAAGACCCTAATCCTGCAGAGCACAGGGAGTAGGTTTTCCATGGGAATCAGGGAAGTGATGTGCAGGCAGGTAGGGTCATAATTGCAGCAGAGGGACCAAGATTCCTTCCCCTTGTTTCTTTCTTTACTATATGCAAAGGACAGCCTTTTGCCTAGGGTCACATTTCTTCTCTCTCATATGTATCTGTCAGATGGCCACAGCTTTGAGGAAACCTTTTCTTAAGGCAGGGAAAGCATCATTATAAAAACTCAAAATCTCAAGAAGAAACTTTGAAGTAATGTGCTTTTGGAGGTAAATATTTATGACTTGAATTGATTTCAAGATGATAGGGTGTATTTCTTGCTTGTATAAGAACTTTTGATAAAACAGTTCACTTTGTGCAGGGAGGCATTGCAAGACTTAGTCACTATAAACATCAACCACAGCACAAGTTCCTGGTTTTGAACATGAAAACTTCTGCTGAAGTAAGAGTTAACAAAAATCATGTGTGTCTGTTTTGTTGGAAAAATAATATTCTGTTTTTTTCTGCCCCAGTTTGGATAACTTTATGCCTTTGTCAAGAACATAAATCTTCAATATAGCATTATAATTCTTATTAAAAACTACAGCTCTTGGCAACAGAATTCCATTCTTTCTAGGAACAGTAGCTACCCAATATTTTTTGCACCGAATAAAAGAAAATAAAAAATAAGCCCTGACGCCATTTGTTTAGCAGAATGTTTTTCTAGTCTCTCTCCACTCAGGAATTCCTCTACCCAAGCATTGTATTTCTCTCTATACTATATGTTGCTATAAAATAATTTACTTCTAAAAATGTTAGCACTGCACCTCTTTGTAGTGTAGATGATTTTTCCATTCCACAGGAAATCACAGCATATTGAGAAAGAGAAAAGACTGAGATACAGCATTTGCCAAAGGAATCCTGCAGCAGCTGTTGCTGTCTGGCAAATGTTAGTGCATTTGGGTCATGGAGTTACACAGATTTGTCTTGGGAAAGCTGTTCTCTCACAACTGAGTAAGAAGTATTTTCTAATACATAATTTTGTTGTAGTTGTTGTGGTACCTAGTCAGCAGCCCGCATTAGGGTCCTGTTTAACTTGGGTGAGGTTTTTTGACTTGAACAGATGTTGGTGTGGTTGGTGTTTCTCCCTGGGTGTGTGGTGAGCGTGTGTTCTCGTATAGCTATATAAAGCTTCGTGTTGTGTAATACTTTGGATGGAGCATGCAAATACAAAAGAAATCAAAACATGTACTTCTGCTGAGAAAGCCTTCCTTCCCTCTCACTACCCCCACCATTCCCCAGCTTTCCCGAAGTCTTTTTTCCACAGCTGGGTTGTAGGTTTCTAAGAATTCAGGTTCAAATGCTACAGCATTAGGACATGGAGAAGTTTAGTATCTCTTCTTACCTTTTTCTGGCTGCTTCCTGCCCTCTTCCTGTCCTGCTTCCTCTCACATCTAAATGCCATTAGGAAACTGCCTGATCTCTTGCCTTTTCCATTTGGATGTCAGATAGGAGAGGAGCTGATTGATTCCTTTTCTCTCTCTCTAAAATGATGGCCAGAAGAGTGTTTTTTTTCCTCTCTGCTCTTTCCTGCGTGCGCTCCCTTCCTCCCATGTATGTCTGAAGGAAAGGGATGGGCTTAGCAGTCTTGGCCTCACTGGCTTGACCTGGAGATGGAGGGGTGCCCTTTTGCCATATCCCAATGCCTGGAGGCTATAGAAAATGTTCCCTGATTCTCTGGAGAGATTCGAAGGCA